TTACCGTAATGGGCTAAATAAAAAACCGTTATCTTGACAAACCATTGATTTTTTTTTCTTTGAACATGAGATGCTTATAATTTAGTTTTTAGAATTTGTTTTATAATAATATTAATTTTATAGTAAATAGAATTTTTTTAACAAAAATGTTGCATTTTGATATATATATATATATATATATATATATATATATATATATATATATCAAAGTATTATTTAGAAGTACGAATCGAATGATCTCAGTGGTGAATCAATTCTTATTATTCCTTGAGGTCTCGGGTTCGTGTACTAGAAATATCAGGTGTGTAAGCATTTAGGGTGTGTTTGTTTGCCGTAATTGGAATTATGGAATTGGTTTTCCCCGAATTCCCGTGTTTGTTTCACGTAATTCATTTTCTGGAAAATGTTTTCCCGTGTTTGTTTCACGTAATTGGTTTTCCGGAATGTAATTCATTTTCCTAGTAACATAATTTCCTTTGTGTTTTCTGTAAAGTGACTTACGGATTCATTTTCCGTAAGTCATTTTCCGAACTTTTCACTTTAAAAAATAAATACTCAAAATAATTTTATTTTATTAATTTAATATTAATAAAATATTTTAATATCATTTTAATCAAAATATTATTTATTTATTAATATATTAATATATATAATAATATAATATAATATTTTTAATATTATATAAAATAATCAATTATATATAATAATATAAGATATTATATTTTTATTTTAATAATATAATAATTTTTTTATATTTAATAATGAATAATATTATTTATATATTTTAATAATATTTTAATAAAGATATTTAAAATATACTAATTAATATTTTTAAAATATAATATAACATTATTACTTTAATAAATAATTAATATAATTTATAATATTTTATTTCACTAAAATATACAAAAATTATTATTTTTATTAATAAAATTATAAAAATAATATTAATAATAAATAAATTATTTTAATATTTTAAAATAATAATATTAAGTTTTATGATAAATAATATTATTTATTATATTTAATATTTGTAATAAATAATTTTTAAAAAAACTCTTCAACTAGTGGAAAAAGGTTTAAATAACATCTTTCAAACATCATAAAACGTTTTCCAGATGTTTTTCAGAAAAATGTAATTCATTTACGAAAAGAATTTTCTGAAAAATGTTTTTCAGAAATGTAATTCATTTTCTAGAATTCAAATTCTAGTAATTCATTTTCCAATTCCAGTAATTCAAATTTAGTAATTCATTTTCCGGAAAACCAATTACAACCAAACAAACAGACCCTAGTGTCAAATGGTTGAGATTTATCTTTGAACATATATCATGTACTTACCTCAATTAATCACACAAATATATTATTTATAAAAATCAAATTATTTATTTAACTTTTAGGAAAAACTACGCATTTAGTACCTAAACTTTTAAATTTTTTAAAACTTACCGTTAAATTTTGAACAGAATATTATAATGAAACAAAAACTAAAGTTTTTAGCGGCGTGATACTCAAATGAAACAAAAACTAAACTTTAGGTATGATTTTTACAAAAATAAAATTTTAAGTATTAAACTAAACTGAAAATGATAGTTTAAGTACTAAACACGTAATTTATCTTAAATTTTATCCAAAATTATAAAAATGATATGAAATATTATATTATATTAATAATATTAAAATTAAGACAAAAATATTGTTGTTTTCGTGTTGATTGATGTTATATAATCACAGAATGAATACATTATCTTCTACAAGAAATCTTGAATTGTGAAAGATAAAATCATTAGAAAATTATACAATAAGTCAAAATTTAAGTTATAATGATCTTGATTGGCCCTTCTTGCATTATACGTATAGGGTTTATTGTATCATGTTTATTTGTTAGATGTTATTCTACTTTTTTTTTACACATAAATTATTTATTTGTATCCGACTTTACGCTGCGTACGTATTTATCGTTATTGATTTATTTGATTTTGGAATGAACAGAATTACACGTAATTTTTTATTATTATCTTTGGAAACTTTTGTTTGAAAATTCTATTCTAGTATATAACTCTCCATCAATAAAAAAAAGAAGGGATTTAATGTCATGACCTAAATTAGATATATTAGAAAAGTATGGTACATACACTACTTCAGTATCCAATGTGTACATATGTGATTGAGGCTCGTATTGTGTTTGGTTCATATTGCTTCTGCATTCTCCTATTTTATTTTGTGCCCCTATGGTGAGAACTTTACGTCAACGTCGGAGTCTATATTTAATGGATTTGATTATGGTTTCATGAATAAATCTATCTCATGACATCATGCTCATGAAACGATTCTTATAGGAACAAATAATCATATATTTCGTTTGTTACATCATAAATAAGAAGCACATGAATTTAAGTCAAATGCAACGAAAATTTCTACGACGTTCGGCGAATAGCGATGAGCACTACTAATGACGAGCACCATTAATTTTATTTATAAAAATTTTAAATTCTAAAGAACTCGACGTATAACTATAAATTAGTTAAAAATTTAAAGATAAATTATTTAAAATAAAGGGTAAACTATACCAGTGGCCACCTAACTATTGCTCCTTTTCATTTTGATCAATATTTTGAAATTCTATCAATCAGGTCACTCAACTATTTAAATGCATTAAATTAAGTCAATTGTCGTTAATATTTAACGGAGAAACTAATGTGGCAGTTAAAATATTTGGTATAATTACATATTTGGTCACTGTTACTTATATATTCTATCAATTTGGTTCTAATTTTAATAAATTAAAATAAACTTAACCCTCAAATCTTTAATTTTTAAAAGATTTTAAAAGTTACAACATATTCTATATTTATAACAAAACAAAATTTTTACTATAAATTCCATTTATGGTTCTCAGAAGCTTCCATTCAATGGTACCATAACATCTTTTGGTTTTAAGGAAAATATAATTGATTAGTCCATGTATATAAAGTTATTTGAACAAAAATTTTATCCTACTACTATTTGTAAATGTCATTTTACTAGAAAAATGTGGTATAGTCTAACCAATAAAACTAAAAAAATTATCCAATAAATTTCTATTTGGGGGGGTGTTTCATCCTACAAGGATCCTCCTAACACAATGAAACCTTCAAAAAAAATTAAACATATCTGTATCTGTCTCACACTGAGCATGAGTAACATACCTGTTTGTAGAGAGGTTGTGATTGTTTTAAGGGGTGCACTTGATTTGTCTGTTAAGTTTTCAATGAACTTCTCAATCAAACAAAGATATCTGCCTTTTATATGGAAAATTGAAATCAAAGCAATTTCTTGAACTTCTAAGTTTCATGGTTCAATTCAATTACCTTGTCTTTATATTTAAAAGGATTTTCGATTTTGTAATTGTTTTTTTTAATCTACTTGATCTCAAGGGGAAATTTTGTGCAAGTAATCGAAACCAAATTCAGTTTGGTTAGAGGATTAGTTATTTAGGATTTTCAGTAATTACTAAACACCCATAATACCATATGTTCTTACTATAAGAACTGTCAAAGACTGAAGCAAACTAACATTATGTCTCAGTTAAATTTACTCTGTTCATTATTTTGGTCCTAAGTCCTAACTATGGAGTATGGATCCATCCGATGAATGACCCTCAGAAGCATTACTTATGACGAGTTCTGTGGAAACAATTGTATATGCCATGTAAATGTCTTTAATAAGCATTGTTTAGTAATAAAGAGTTAAAAAATGCTTGCTTAAATGGCAGAGAAAATTGAAATATATTCCTATTACGATAAAAGTGACAAAGGCGCTTCAGTTTAAAATGCATGTCTTTAATAAGTTTATTTTAACTTATTAAAATTAGAACTAAATTGATAGAATACATAAATAACATTGACCAAATGTGTAATTATACCAAATTTTTAACTGTCATATCAGCTTCTACATTATATATTAACCGCAAGTGGCTTAATTAAATGCATTTAAATAGTTGAGTGACCTGATTGACAAAATTTCAAAAATATTGATCAAAATGAAAAGGATGAATAATTAGGTGGTCATTGGTATAGTTTACCATTTATTTTAAATAGTTTATCTTTAAATTTTTAACTAATTTATAATTATACGTTGATCTTTAGAATTTAAATTTTTATAAATTAAATTAATGATACTCGTCGTTAGTGTTGCTAATTGAGCGTAAAAGAATCATCCCAAATGCAACAATATAAAAATGTCTCCTAAAACATAGCAACATAAGAGTAATGCACAAAACATTTTGTTAATAGCATTTTAATTAATTCTTTTTTAAAATTATATATGAATTATAAACCTAAACCCTAAAAAATATAATTATTAAAATCTCTAAACTTAACATAACTATAAATCCTAAAAGCATACACCATCTTTCTTAACTAAAAAAAACTCAAAATCTTAAATACTAATCTATTCTAAAACAAAATACCTAAATCAATAACAAAAAAATAAGAGATGAAAATTTTACTGATAATTCTGTCCTATTACAGTCTAATTTAAAGATAAGGAAAGCGTGACCTAAAATGTTATAAAAGAACATAACATTTTCAATTGGCGCAATCTAAAATGTTAATATTTCAATATTTTCGGTTGAATTAAAAATATTATAAAAAATATTACATTTTCAGTTGTCAACCTAATAGGTTAAGAAAAAAATTTATAACTGATTTTTTATTAAAAATTTAACATTTTAAATTATATTTAACTGAAAATATTATGTGTTTTATAATATTTTTTGTTACACCAATCAAAAATAGTATTAATTTATAATATTTTAAATTACATCTTTCCTTATCATCTCTTAAAATTCCTCAAATTTTACGGACAAAACACATCCCTTAAGATGTACACGTCTGCAAAAGACGAAGGGGGCGTTTGCCACGTTGGCGTGAAAGATTCTTTTTTGAAAGGGCGTGGAAGTATATTGAGGTAATAAAAATTTTCATTTTTTTAAAACAAAAGTATCGCAGATTTTTCAACATACCCATTCCTGATTCCGTTTTCTGGTTTAGGGTTTACATCACGATTTATCGGTTCCTTTCCCCTTCAAAGCCACTCCTCCTCCTTCATTTCTACACACTCTAACCTAATCCAAATCCTCAGAAAAGGAACAAAAACAATCGAACGGCAATGGTGGTCAAAGGCGAAGAATCTGACAAAATCTTGGAGCTCTTCTTGAAGATCGGTTTAGACGAACGAACTGCTCGTAACACCATCGCTAATAACAAGGTCACTTCCAATCTCACTTCCGTCATTCACGAGGTATGATTCTTGATTTAGTCTCTCTCTTTTTCTTCTTTTGGATTTAAAATTAACACTATCAATTTTTCATTTCATTTTGTTTTCTTTAGGCTGCTTTAGCTGACGGATGTGACCGTACAATTGGAAATCTGTTATATACTGTAAGTTGATTTTTCATTTTTTAGTTATTTTCTTTGTTTCGTATAATGTTCTTAAAGGTGAAAATTGGAGGTGACATTTGCTATATATGTATCGCATAGGTTGCGACGAAGTACCCTGCAAATGCACTCAAACATCGCCCAAAGTTACTTGAATATGTCGTCTCTTCCAAGGTTTGAAACATAATTTATGTTCCCGCAATGATTTTAGGTGGCGGATTTGTGTTATTATTACTAAAATAGTATTGTTTTTAGATTAAGACTCCAGCGCAGTTAGAAGCTTCGTTTTCGTTTCTCTCAAATGTTGCATCGGAGGACTATAAGCAGAAGGAATTTGAAGAAGCATGTGGAGTTGGTATGTCATAAAATGGTTCATGCTTATGAGATATCTAATGTTGTTGCTGGTGTTTCTATCATCAGAGCTGTTAGTTTTAGCTTGGATTTCTTTAATGCCATACAATATAGGTCTTGCTTACTTCATTGTACATTTGAACAGGCGTTGAAGTTTCTCTGGAGGAACTTACACAGACTGTCAATGAAATTTTTGAAGATAATAAGGCTGCAATTTTGGAGAGACGTTACCGAATGAATGGTTTGTTCTCACTCTCTTCCTCTTGCTATGTTGTTCTTTTTCTAATATAAACATGCACGATTATATGAGGATAAAAAATGCTAGATAAGATAGGCAACTAGAGAAACATGCTGGGATTGAATGTGCATGTATAAGAATGTGTGGACTTTCCAGATGCACTCTCATGGACTGTGTGATCTTGGTGGCTTATAGGTTATGCCTTTATTTATCTTTTTGAAATTGGCTGTCTAATTTGTTCTAGTCTCTCTTTAGTGGTATATGTTGTCTGAGATTTTTGTACATTTTCTCTCGTGTGCATGAATTTCAGTATATTTTTGTAATTCTCCTTTTCATCATTTACTATCAAATTTAGTTGGTGAGTTGTTGGGGAGCATCAGGAAGAAGCATCCTTGGGCCGATCCAAAGATAGCTAAGGTGATTTTCTATATTTTCTAAATTGCATCTGAAGGGCTATTAATTAATATAAAAGCTTTCTGATTCTGCTCTTTTCTTGTGTGACAGCAACTCGTAGATGCAAAAATGTACGAGTTACTTGGCGAGAGGACAGAAACAGATGATGAGAAGCCTTCAAAAAAGAAGGAAAAGAAAGAGAAACCTGCGAAAGTTGAAGTGAACATAACTACCTCTACCTGTTTTTAATATTTTACATGGGCGTGTTCTGTGATAAGAAACTTTCTTTGACATCTGTTCTTACTGTGCAGAGTAAAGCTGATGTTGTTGACACTCCTGCACAGCCATCTGAAGAGGAACTTAATCCATTTTCAATATTTCCTGCTGCAGAAGACAATATAAAGGTACATAGATAAACAAGTCGCTCATAGTTTGTCTTCTTCACTTGCCTTCTAATAATCAAAGATTCAGGGACAACATTGTTCGCTTCAATACTATTGTAACTACTATATATTTTTGTTTTTTGTAGTTCTGGTTTTATACAACCGCATTTCTTGTGTTTATTGGTCTAGTGATGATTATCAAAACTGGAAAATTAAAAAAAAATAAAGGGTAGAGATGTTGTAGGATAGCAAAGAAGAGTTAAGGCCATTTTCTGATAAGATTTCTAACAAATTTGAATAGAGAAAAGAAATATGTTCCGTAGCTTGGCACCTGGGGTTCCTTAGGAGTCATAGCCATGGCTTATTGCTTCCGGCAATCACAAGAGGATTAATGCTTAAATTTTATGGTAATAATTCCATGTCTTCCAACACAGAGTATTGATATATGTAGACTCCCTAATTCTTCTAATAGAACTAGAATTGGAAAATTGAAGAAAACAAAGAGAAAATAAGGCGAGAGCTTAAGCAAGATTTTACATATGTTATCCTTTTCTTCGGAAAATCAGTGAACTGTCCCTTAAATTGTAACTTTCTTGGGGGGTATTAGGTGCACACAGAAGTATTTTTCAGCAATGGTTCTGTTCTAAGATGTTGCAATACAAGGGAAAGGCTTGACAATCACTTGAAGGTCACTGGAGGAAGAGTTTTTACCCGCTTCCCTCCTGAACCAAATGGATATCTACACATTGGACATGCAAAAGTAAGTTCTATTGATAATTCATTCAGTAGGATACAAACACTGCATAATGATTGTTCTTATGCTATAACTATTTCTCAGGCAATGTTTGTCGACTTTGGCCTTGCAAAAGAGAGGGGTGGATGTTGCTATCTCAGGTCAGAGTTGCTCTTTGTGCTATCATCCAGAGTTTTTAAAAATAGTTAATAATCGATGAATCTCACTTGTATTTTTTATTTTCTGAATGTTCTTTATCAAGTCAAAAGGATTAGTGATGTGCTTTGCTGCTTACTTTTCTAATCTTATCTTTTGGTATTTTTAGATATGATGACACAAACCCAGAAGCTGAAAAGAAAGAATATATTACTCACATCGAAGAAATTGTTCAGTGGATGGGCTGGGAACCGTTTAAGGTATTTTCAACATTTTAATCCAAGTGTTCAGTAAAATTCTTGGCTTATATCTGTTTGCATTGTATTTTTTGTAGATAACTTACACTAGTGACTATTTCCAAGATTTGTATGAGTTGGCTGTGGAGCTGATACGAAGGGGCCATGCATATGTTGATCACCAGGTACTAATACATGGTATTATCCATAACATGGACCACTAAATGTACACAGCACTCTCTTGTTTTAAGTTTGTCAGTTAATCAATCTAATCGGCATTTGTTCTCTTGTTGTTAGACCCCTGAAGAGATAAAGGAGTATAGGGAAAAGAAGATGAACAGCCCTTGGAGAGATAGACCAATTGCCGAGTCATTAAAACTCTTTGATGACATGAAGAGAGGTCTGATAGAAGAGGGCAAGGCAACACTTAGGATGAAACAGGATATGCAGAGTGATAACTTTAATATGTATGACCTTATTGCTTATCGTATCAAGGTAAGTGTTTATCTTGTTGATGTTTAAGTACTTGTGAGTCTATTTCCATCTGCCATTATCATTGATATACTCTCTTTTGCTCTCTCTCCAGTTTACTCCTCATCCTCATGCTGGTGACAAATGGTGCATTTATCCGAGCTATGATTATGCTCACTGCATCGTGGACTCTCTTGAGAATATCACACATTCAGTACGTTTTCTTTAACTATCCTATTTAATTTTTCAACATTGAAGGACATTGATAATTTTCCTTTAAACCACTGTATTTACTAAAGCATGAAACTGCTAGATGTGTGTGGTATACGATTTCTTTTAGTAATCCCATTTAGTGTGAGCTTGTGTTGGTTTGGACATACTGTTTTTTGCTTCATGGACCTATGTTTCAAATAGAAGATGTTCTGATTTTTCTTTTGTTGAACTAACTGAATAGAACTTAAATTTCAAAAGTATGTAGCCTTCTAAGGGAAGATCTATGTTTTCTAGCTGTCATTCCTAAAGAACAGTTTATTGGGTTCTTTATGAAGTGTTCAGTTGATTATTTAAATGCTTCATTCTTAAAAAATATTTATATTTTGGGTTTTCCTTTGTGTAGCTATGTACACTTGAATTTGAGACAAGGCGTGCTTCATACTATTGGCTGTTACATGTACTGGACCTTTATCAGCCATATGTGTGGGAATACTCGCGACTGAATGTTACAAACACTGTGATGTCTAAACGGAAGGTGAAACAAAATAATATGATATTTTATCAAAAGTTTCTGTTTGTTTTACAAAGTTCATTATGTTAATGACTAACATACTTCCACTATGATGTGATTTAGTTAAACTACATTGTGTCAAACAAATATGTTGATGGTTGGGATGATCCCCGTCTCATGACATTAGCTGGTTTACGGCGTAGGGGTGTGACTTCAACTGCAATAAATTATTTTGTTCGAGGAATTGGAATCACTAGAAGGTTGAATGTGCATTCTCGTCTTATTCTCTTGTTATATGTGTAGCGATGGTCTAGTGCACTTGTTTTCATGCATTAAAAACAAACTTGGGTTTTCATATTTTCCGAGCCTTTTGCTAATGTTTTAATTCTTGTGCCACAGTGATTGTAGTATGATTCGTATGGATCGCCTTGAGTATCACATAAGAGAAGAATTAAACAAGACAGCTCCTCGTGTATTAGCTGTGCTGCATCCTTTAAAGGTCATCTTCTAGCTGGGTCTTCCTTTAAAACCATAGTATCCGCCTTCCACCTCATCTTCCTTTTTTTCTCAGGTAGTAATAACCAACCTTGAATCCAGGTCTGTTTTGGATCTTGATGCAAAGAAATGGCCTGATGCTCAAGCAGATGACTCATCTGCCTTTTACAAGGTGGGGGATACAGAAGAGTGACTTTTCAAATTGTTTTAAATTTGAGTATCTGCATATTCCTTTTCCCCCTTCAGAATCATGTTGGACTGCTATTGAGTATTGTTTGCTCATGAATCTCGCTTCAATTACAGCAACAGATGTTAACTCCAAATTGCAATTTGCTCCAAAAGCTTTTGGTATTCTAGTCGGTGATCATAACTACTTGTTCTCTTGACTTTAGGTGCCCTTTTCGAATGTTGTATATATTGAGCGCTCAGATTTCCGGATGAAAGATTCTAAAGATTACTATGGGTTGGCTCCTGGCAAGTCAGCACTGCTACGGTATCCATATGAACATAATCCCCCACCAACCCAATTCCACTTAGATAAATATGCATTGCAACTGTGTAGAAAATTTTAGTTAATGGTTGGCATGGTTCCATTTTGCAGATATGCATTCCCCATTAAGTGTACAGACGTAATATTGGCTGATGATAAAGAGACCGTGCTGGAGATTCGAGCTGAATATGATCCTTCTAAGAAAAGCAAGCCAAAGGTTCTTATTTGTTTAAACTATTTTGTGAAGTAATTCTGGACTTTTTTAATTACATCTACATGTTCGAATAATATTTTTTTGAGGATCATGCAATATATATATATATTCTGCTCGGTATTATTCCTAAGCGATAATCAAAATATTTGCACAGGGGGTTCTCCACTGGGTTGCTGAACCCTCCGCTGGTTCTGAACCATTGAAGGTTGAAGTTCGATTGTTTGACAAACTCTTTAATTCTGAGGTTGGCAGTTATTTATTAACTATTTGGATTCTGTTCTTGTTTTCTGCGAATTGTATCACTAATGCTTACAACTTCCCTTCGCTTCATCAGAATCCTGCTGAACTTGATGATTGGCTTGCTGATCTCAACCCGAATTCCAAAGTGGTGGTACCTGCTGCATATGCAGTACCATCACTTCGGAACTCTGCCATAGGGGCCACATTTCAGTTCGAAAGGCTAGGTAGGTTTAACCATGACATCGACACAATATTGTTGTATTGTATGCACAGCAGTCTAACGGACATCTCATTCATAGCTTGGCATAATGACACGAATATGATTCAAGTTTTTGGTTCATAGCTTCGCATAATTACATTATAGCGAGTTATAGATATTGTTAAATTTTTATTATTATTGTTATTAAGTTTATGGTTCATTGTGTGTTGTACTTATTTTGGTTTATGATTTCAGGGTATTTTACCGTCGACAAGGACTCAACTGAAGAAAAACTTGTATTTAACCGTACGGTTACACTCAAAGACCCCTACGGTAAGGCTGGAAAATAGGTTTTCACACCGATGAACCTCACACATTAAGAATCCAGTTATGACTTACGAAAGCTATTGTTATCAAAAAGACATTGACGTGGTTTCCTTGACAGACTTAATACAGTTTGTTTACTCAGTGGCTTGAATGAATTCAGCAAAGTTGTGATAGATTTACAATTCTTATCTAAATAGAATTACAAAGTATGTGAAATTTATTTTGTTTGATTCAAGATGAATTTGAAAGTAAGTCGAGGGCTTCCGAGGCCAAATGCATTGAAGCATCACTTGCTGAAATTTAGTTACTTAAATGCAGAGATGTCTTTGTTGACTCCGTATATAGCATTCCTTCCTAGCTTTCCTGAATGTTTATTTTATCAAATTATGGATTTGCATGCGGAGTCTGAATCCCGAACATGGTTTTAACGGAGTTGGTTTGTGTTTTTATTAATAACTTAAGAAACATTTGAATATTTGATTGAACGATAAATGATGTATTTTTAAATTTAATTCAAATATAAAACGTCTTATTTTATAAAAAAAAATATTAAAATAGTGCTAATATAATATTCGAGAAAAAAAAGGCCTTGCATCACATTGAAATTGAGAACAGTGAGATCTATTTTTGGGGTAAGGGTGGGGTTGGGGCGAATCGGCAAAATGAAAATCTGATGTACAAATTACCGTCCAAAACTTGAGGCTCTTATCAAGCAAATATCATTTTTAGTTTTCTTTATGCAAGTACGTTATTTCAATATAATTTTGATTTTTTATCTATTAATATTTAATTTATTATAATATTTTTAGTCGTCTATTTAAGATTACATTTTATAAAATTACATTATAAAAAATTAATCTAATCTAGATCTAAATTCTATCTTTATAGCTTGTATAAGGCATCATGTATTTAAACAACCATTCACTGTTTATTAGTAAAATTGTATTCTTCAAATTTTATTTTAGGATTTGGTGATTAATTTTCCTTGTCAAAAATATTTTCTTTTAGGATAAATTAGACTCGTTTTATGATTTGTTTGAAATTTCTTCAAAAGACTACATAGGACGCATATTAGTCTTCAGATGACTATTTTCTTAATTCTATCTTTAAAATAATTTGTTAAATTTTGGTTCCTAAACAACATTAATTATTTTTCATTGATTTTCAGATTTAAAAACAAACTCTAATTTTATTAGACTTGTTTCAGTCCGAATTTAATACTTTTTTTATTTAAATAAACCAAAATAAATTTTGAATCATTTAATCTATCATTTGATATTGAATTTAAGGCACTTAAACTTTTAACTTTAAAACATAATTTAACTCTATTTTTTTGATACTCGAACCTAAGATCCCAAAGAATAACAACAATCCCTTAACCATTTAGACCACTTGATTCATGCAATTCAACTTTAAATCTTAGACATAACGCATACCATTTAAATAAATTAATTAATGTAAATAGAAGTTTACGTAATCCATATTATTTACATATTATATAAGATGTATAGAGCATTTATCACATGGTAATCCTATACGTTAAACAAGATAAAGCTCATGAATCACACTAGCCTATCAAGTATGAAACAGTCAACAACCCAAAATGATAGCCTTACCATCACACAATTCACCCTACACAATTCCTTCAATATAATAATTTGTTCCCCTGGGACCCCCTGCTCATTTTATAATACAATCAAATCTTTCCTTTGGCCTCATATCCCCTCTCTCTCTCTTTTTTCTTTTTCTTTTTTGAAAAATATAATTAAAATAATCTTCTCATCACTTTTAAAGTTATAAAAAAAAGCATCGCCAAAGTTGTAATAACTTGTAGTCTTGTACAATTAAATAGTATTAAACGAATATTATGAGAATTCTACTAAGTTTCAGGGAAGAACCATGCATTGCTGACTCATCATATCCATTGTTCAGACAAAACCCTCTCTTGTTTGTCAAACGTGTCCCGAATAATATCTTACCAAATTTCTTTTATATAATTGCATTTCTTTCATCATCATCTTTTATTACAATCTCCAAAACTCTTGCCAACAGTGTCTTGATTTGTAAACAATCCATGGAAATTCCCGTTATCAACAAAATAAGCGATTTTGAAGATGCCATAAGCTCTCTTTACGTGCTTTCTGGGATTCAGAAAATCTATGAAACCCATAGTTTTCTTAAGTGGGGAGATTTGATTCTAGCCCTAATAGCTTCCTTGTCTACCATCTAGGAAGCACGGGGACGCCATCGGTGTGCCGTTTCAAATACCTGATACGTCCCCGGCACGGGGACGACACGGGGACGGCTGGGGGACGTGCCACGGTGGCGGGGTACGGCTGAACGGCGTCGGGGATGTTTCACCGAGAGCTGGGGATGTTTCGGGGACGGCTGGAGACTTTCACATGCGTCCCCTGGTTCTTTTTGTCATTTTGCATTTAAAAAAAATTCCAATCGCATAACCTAATTTCACGGCTATTTAATTCCCTCTTTCTTCTCTTGATTCTCATCGTCTCTCAACTGTCTCGAGCATAATCCTTTCATCGAGCAGGACTGTAAGCTTTTAAAGGAAGCTACAACTATTTCCCTCTGTCTTCATACGTGTTAGTTTCTCTTTTCTTTTATGTTATTTTTCATGTGCTTTTCTTTACTTGATAATTGCTGATCTGGGTTTTCTTCTTTTTCTGTTGTATTTGGATGATTATTTTATTCTGGGTTGTTTTTCCTTTATGGGTTTTTTCATCTGAGGTTCACTATTTTGCAATTTATTTGATTAGTTTTGTTGTGTCAGATATGTCTTTCTCGATGTCTTAAATTCATTAAACTATACGTTCCGGAGATGTTTTGTATTTGATTTCTATTTAATGCCAAATTTCAGATTTTTTTTGTCATCCGATTTATAATTCTTTTAAATGTGATTTCATTTTTCTTGCGACCTGGTTGTTCTGGTCAATACTCCTTCATGTTATGTTTTCACTTCTTTACCTTTGCTGGTCTCATGCATATACGTATGTTGTATGTACATAGTGGTGGTTTGAATTATATGATTGTATAATAGCCAAAGGATATGGCAGACTTATGTAGGAGATTTAGACTGCACTTTGCCGCTCTTAATGGAATCCTGCACTTATGTCCGATTTTATGGCTTACTGATTTGATTTCAACTTGTGTTCTTTCGTTGCGTATGAGCACTGGATAACTGGATTTTAGTGATTCAATGAATATACGAAATTGCTTACCAGATCTTAGTTTCCTCTTATTTTTCAGTGATTATAGATAACTGGATTTTGTAATATAGCTCCAACCTTATTTGTTTCTTTTATCCACTCACTTAGGAGGAATAAGTTAAATCCGAGTCGCGCCGAAGATTTAGTTTACATCCACTACAATCTTCGTCTTTTATCAAGGAGTTCTAGTCAATATGAGGATGAGAAAATCAAGATGTAGGATGTTGGTGGAGATGATTTTGATTTATTGGGAGATGTTGGACATTTAGAGTTTGTCGAACTCTGGCTTGATGAGCCGGATTTAGAGAAGCAATTAATCTCGGAAGATGTTAACAATGTTTAATTTGGGTTTAATATTTTTCTAGACTTAATATTATAGTTTGAATCTTGAAATTTGACATTTTAATATTGTGGCTTGTTTATGAATTTTATTGTTCTAAACTTAATATTATTGTTTAAGTCTTAATATTTCACTTTATTTATGATTTTTTATATATATTTTATAATTTTAAAATTATTTTATATGTCGTACCCTTGCCGTCCCTGTACCCTATAATTTTAAAAATTATTGTTTCCCGTCCCCGTATCCGTATCAGTGCAACATAGTCTACCATTATCATCAAACTCAAGATTTTCATCATCAGGCCACACCATTCTTTGCCGTCAGAAACTCTTCTTTACGACACAGATTTCGACATTGACAGTGACATTGATTCTTCATCGGACGACGAATCAGAATACGAGGAGCCGTCCACTTCCCATAACCGGTGACAAGTTGAAGAGTGTTTTAGGGTCCGGGGTTCCGGCTCCGGTAATTTCGTCTGCGGCGAGTGGGAAGGCAGTTATTTCTCCAGCGGGAAAAGCGTGGTGAAGTTATGGGAAAACCTAACTTTAGAGTTCGATTTCGAAGTCGATGAAAGCGACGACGTTAACAAAGGAACGAATATCGCTTCCATTTTCGGCGGAGAACACGGCTTTCAGGCGATTTCAGCACCGTTCTCGTTGCCTTCTGTTGTCATTTCTGCTGGCGTTTCCTTATCGTCTAGACGAGTCCCTGTCGGAGCGTGGGACACACGCCTTTGTCGTCGAGTACCGGCTATAGTAGCGGGATGGAGGCCCAAACAATCACAGGAGAAAATCGCAGGGGTCGATGTGGATGACGGTGTCGAGAAGGTTTACACAAGAGGTGACGTCACGGGGACGTTGACGGTGGGTGATATGAGGATGGTGTTACCGTCGTCAAGGAACTTAACGACATACGAGGGTGATATCTTGGTAGGATGCTGAGTCCGACCGAAGAGTCGGGTTGACCGAGTTATCACGTTCATTCATTTATTTACAAGTGATAAGAATTTGATTAAATGTAAAAATTAAATAAATAGATTTAATCCGTCTCTTTGAATTCTCGAATCTCGTTCACATGTAAAGTTATTTTTATTGTTTAATAGAATTTCAAACTCAGTGAAGCCTTCCATTGTTGTTTGTACATGCTTTCCAATTTCCTTTTCTAAATTCTCTTTTGCCGTTCTGAATTGTCTGTTAAAATAAATAAAGTAAACTACGCTTTTAGTACTAAAACTATCATGGTCTATTTTAGTATCTAAACTTTTAATTTTTTCAATTTCATACCTAACGTTTAGTTTTTATTTCATTTTAGCACCCGCCGTTAAAAACTTAACGTGTTTAGTACCTAAATTATCAGTTTTTGTTCGTATTAGTACCTAAGATCTCAATTCTTTCAAAGCTTAATATTAAATTTTGAACGGGATACTAAAATGAAACAAAAACTAAAGTTTTTAACGACGTGTACTAAAATAAAATAAAAACTAGATTTTAGGCATGCTTTTGAAAAATTAAAAGTTTAGATACTAAAACGGATCAAAATTGATAGTTTAGATACTAAACTGTAGTTTACCCTAAAAATTAATACTAATCTAATTAGGCCGAAATTTGTAAATACATATTTTTCAATTATCCGGCATAATTTATGACTAGTAATATTCATCAGTAAATTCATCCCGTGTAGTTTTTTTAATATTAATTAATCAATTCATTAATATTTATTAGTAAACGGTAAGACTTTGATTGTTTTAACCGTCATTGCTTAAATTAAAGTTTTATTTGCTTTTTTCTCTTCAAATGATTTTAATTAATATTTAAATAAATAATTAAAATGTATATAGAATGGCCATAACGGTATTGATTATTAAAAAAACAAATTATTTTATTATTAATAAATCAAATAATACTTCTGCGTTTTGGGCCAGATGTCCTTGAAGTTGAGGAATTAAATATTTGAAGTTATTTACATTTGAGGTTGGCGAGCTTTTTCTCCTGGGTTGCTTTTCACCTGTTAATTCATCTAAATATGGATCAAGGGGTCGATTAGGTGTAGTTGGCCGATATTTTTTATTAAGAATTTATTTTTTAAAATTTTATAAATTATTTTCTTTTAGTAATATTTTAAAAATTCACCTCCCAAACATTATGTGGTTCATATTATGTAACAATTTAAGTATAAAAATAGATAGGTGACCATTAAAATTGATCTTCTGGATTTCATTTTGAGGATGCTAAACTTGTATCGCATTTCATTAGGATAATCATGACCTGCATTACTTCTTCCACGATGCAAATATTAACATATTTATTTATCTAGTCACACCCCCAACAAAGTTACAAAATTAATTACAAGTTTTCATCAAATATTTAATTTTGTTGGAGATGATTCTTTTTATTGAGTCTGACGCTGTGCTGAAGCTTCTGTTCTTTTTCTTCATGGTTTAAGACGACAAAAAACAATAATAATAAAGGCAAGCACATAGGTTTTGAATTTTAATAGCTAATCACCATGTTTGACACTAATAATACTTGAACAAATTGAGAGGTAATATTTTATATGTGTGGGTAGTGACGAATTCATAAATATTTTTTAAGGTGAACACATATGTATTAATGGTATATTTTTTTTGTATGGAGTAAGCACTAATAATTAGGGTGAGCATCAATAAAATTTCAAGGTATATACCTCAGTAAAATATACAAGAAATATAAAGAAATTTTGAATTTTAAGGTGAGCACGTGCCTACCCTAAAATATACAAGCATCCTGGATCGATCCAAATAAGAAAAAAATGAAAAAGAATTGATCAGCAACTACGAACAATATTAATCAAACAAGTGAGATCATTATCTGCAAAAACAAAGTTCAAACAAAAAAAACCCTTTTTTCAGTAATCAGGGAGCCCTTTCATGAATTCCAGCATAGTTGGCGAGTTCAAAGTCCCCATATCACCAAACTTACGAACATGCGTCGGTGAGCAGAAGAAATCCGTCGAGCTCGGCGTGAAGAGAGGCATATCAGCGAAAAAGTGTTTCATTCCACCGCCAATCGCCGTCGTAGGAACATCTTCGACTTTTTCATCTGTATTTACGGAACATGATTCGTTGTCTTCCTGTCTTTTGTTAATCTCGTCGTTCTTCTTAGGTCGTGACGGCAGCACCGCAGCAGTATCTCCGTTAACTTCACGATGGGATCTGGACAAACCAGTAAGCCTTTGAACCAAGGCCATGAAATCCCGAGCCTGCGTGTGGATGATCTTGGGCGAGTGCGTGTAAATTATGACCAGACCTTTCCGCCGCTGCTGTTGTTGCTGCTTTTGCTGATCAGTCGATGAAGATGGCTTTTGAATCAAATGAGACTCTTTGTTTATATTCAGTGGAAACGGACGAACTCCGTTAAGCATCACTTCTTTTCTGGGAGGACTCATCGTGGAAATAATGGATTTTCGGAGGATCGAAAATCTGAGAAAATTAAATTTAAGAAACTGTTTACAGCTTGGTGAAGTTAGAGAGAAAGGCTTATATATAAATTGTACTCCGTATGTCAAGAGAATAATATGGAGGCGAAGCCGGAGATTCTGACCGTTGACCAAAAGAAAAATGTACGTGTAAAAGTATATAATATTAAGATAAATTCAATAATTAATCATTAAATTATTACTTATTTTTTATTTGAGCCACCGAACTATTTTGCTTTAATGAAACATCACTACTATTATTTTTTAGTCCCCGATTGTCAAATTTTTATGATGATATTGACTCTCTCTCTTCAACATCTCGTATGTAATGTGTAAAGATGACGATGATATTGATATATCATCATAAAATAATATTATATTAACATTGAAAAAATTAAATAAAATGATACATCAATAATAACATTAATTTTTTAACGGTAGATGATCAAAATGAAATAAAAACTAAACATTAAGTATGATTTTGAAATAAAAAATAGTTATATATCAAAATGGTACAAAAATAATAATTGGATACTAGATATGCAGTTTACCATTAAATTTTCAAATAGAAGAAGAACATGTGTGTTTAAGGAGAAATTATTAGATAAACCTGGCTCATTATGGTTCTAACTAATAAAATTCTTTCATTTCAATTGTTTTCAAGGTGAATCTTCACCTTTCCTATGTATAAATAAAGCGTGGATGGTTATGTAAAAATTATTTTGAAATAAATAAATCTTATTAATTAAGATCATAAATGAAATGGTAAATCGAATTTATCAAATAATTTCAGGTGTTTAAGGGTGACCTAATGTAGTTGTCAAAAGATAAGTATATTTGAATATTGATTTCTTTTGAAGCTACTTTTGGGTATTTCTACGGAAAAATCACCCTTACACCCAATAATTACCTATCAAACACCCTCTTTCCTAATATTACAAATCTAACACCCTTTTTGACACGGTGGCAATAAAGTGTGGATCGTTAACCGCGTCTTCGTGACCATCCGCGCCTTCACTGAACGTCTGACATGTACGGAAGGCACGGATCTTTCCTTTGATTCAGTCAAACAGTCCGTCTCCTACATTGATTACCACCTGTCCCCTTCCCTATAAATACCACACTCAACACAACTCTCAAACCACACTCAAATCTCAAATTTTCTCATTTTTCCTATTATCAATATTTTTATTAAAAATGTAAAATATTTTTATTATATTATAATTATTTAATAATTTATTATTTTATTAAATTTTATTATACTAATTTTTTATTACTTTTTACATTTATAAAATGGAAGACATATTGCTACGTTTAGATGATAATCATATCTCTATCATAGTAAATAATAGCTGAAATACGCATCATTTTGAGAGTTTGAAAGATTGTGAGTCTTATAACTGCAAAAACAATAATTGAAATATGTCTAGTTAAATAAATAATATATGAATTAAAATATAAACTAATCAAAAAAAATTAAAAAACTTCACAATAATTAAAATAACACAATTTTATATTGTTACTGCATCAGCAAAATGTCTTGAGGTATGATCCCGCCTTCCAATTCTACAACCGCAAAAAATAATACAAAATAATTAGTACAATAATTTTTTTCAAATAATTAAATATAAAATAATAAAAAATAATTTTACCTTATAAAAACAATAACAAAATCTACTTAGCTTGAGGAAGGAATTGATAGAAGTGATAATAAACAAGTAATTTTGGTGTGGTGATGTTTTCATTTAGAGGGCTTTTTATAGGAGAAGTGATCGTTAAAAAGTCGAGTTTTCAGGCTCAATTAATATGGAGTACCAAATAATTCAACGTGCATAATATAAGTCCTTACATGACGCCAGCTCGAACAGAACTCCGCGAAGATATGACTAACAATCCGCGCTCTATTGTTATAATGTCAGAAATGATACTAGATCAATAATATTAGATGAGAGAATGTCTAATAGGTTATTATTGGGTCTAAGGGTAATTTTTTTTTTGTAGAAACTCTATACTTTTGTGGGCACCTTAATGAGTAAGGACGGCATAGCTAATGATAAAAAAGGAAAAAGGACGGCATAACTACCGGTACTTAATACACGTCCTTTGACTTTCATGCAACCATCCAACTTATTTCCATTTTCGCCATTAATTAGCTTAGCCCCGCCCTTAATTCAAAACTCGTGTATTTTATATTTCTATATTTTATCATATTCTAATTTTATCTAATTTATTTTATATTAAAAAATTATATGTCAAATTATTTTTATGTTGTACTATATTTTTTAAAATTGAATATTAAATTTTCTTTAAGCCTTATATTTTTTATCGTATTTAAAATATGTTTTACATCGTATGGTCTAATCTTGTATTAAAAGCCTTCTCTTCCATAAAAGTAGACCTGTTTTTTAGGGACCACACCTTAGTGAAAAAGGTATATGTATTCAAGAAAAATTTGAAGTCAAAATTGATATAATGGGAAGGAAAAAATTATAAAAATTATTCAATAGAAATTTGATTTTTTAATTAATATGAAATAATTACAAGATAATATATGTTTAAATATAATTCTAAATCATTTGACATTTAACGTTCACCCTCCTGGCATTCCTTATGCTCGAATATGGGATCTCATGAAATAATAACAATTCTTTTATCACTGAAATCGTTTAGTACGTGCTAGACATTTGATTTAAGTGTTGTAAATAGGGTATAGTTTATGCGATATTCTTTTTTTTCTCTAATTTATAATTTTTTTATTAATTTAAGGTAAGTAAAAAGTAATATCTGTTCAAAAACAACTTTCAATATTTTGACATTGAACACTCACACCCCTAGCATCTATGATGCTCGACCTCATATCTTTAATAAAAAATAATAATTATTTTATCACGGAGAGAGCTTGGTTTTCAATTCTTTAATTACTTTTTTTTGAACGGGACTCTAATTGCAAAATTCCATTGACTTTTGAAAATTGTCTTAAAATTCATTGCCTAGGGCCTGACTTTTCGTGCCCACTAGAATAAAGTATATAATATATATCCAAATAAAATATTAAATACACTACTTATATTAATGAAGCAATGTATGAAGAACCTCTGATTAATCTGTTGGAAAATTTGTTGCTTCTTCTTGTTAGATTAGGTTTTTGTTTTTGTTTTTGTTAAATTAGAAACCCATTTTAATAAATCGAAATTAATAAAGAATAATAATAAGAGTTGTCGAAAAAATAGGTCAAAGTTGGAACTATTGATTTGAGTAATGGATGCCGTTATTTGAAAACCGTAAGTCGCCATTTTCGCTGAATTGTCAAACATTTTTTCAGCTGACTTTTTATTTTATTTGTTTTTTCAACTTCTTCTGAGACACGCAGTCTTCAATTCAAATTCAAACAATTTAGATTTGTTAATTTATTTTGTCTAAAACTGTTTCCTTAAAAAGTCAAAGCAGGTTAAGTGTCAATCATCCTTGATCTTTTTGTTTGTTATTTGTGGTTTTTATGTCATTTGCTCACTCAATCCTGTTAAGAACAGACCTAAGATAGTTATTTTTTCTATCTAAAACCTAACTTAACGAATAATTCAATCACTAAACATTATGGAAATGAATCTAACCTTACTTTATATATATATATATATATATATATATATATATATATATATATATATAGTAGATGAAAATAATAAAAGTGAAGAAAAAAAAACAGGGTAAACCATAATTAAATTACGCAACTGTAGAGATTCTGCGTAGAAATGGGAAAAACCTAGGGTTAAATATGGGATAAACTATATGAATGGTCATTGAAGTATAAGTAAATTCCTTTTACGGGGCTGAAGTTTCAAAAGCAATGAAACAATCACTGATATTATCATTTTATAACAAGTCAACTACTCGATCATTAACAACCGTTACTCCAGTAACATAAGGCTGATGTGTCCTATTAAGCTGACTTGTTTAGCACGGTTTGGCCACTTAGGACGAGAGATGGCCGCTCTTTTGACTCAATCTTTCTTATTCTGCAACTGTTTTTATCTTTACTTATTTTCCCTTTCTTCTATGAAGGTTTTCACAAAACTAAGAGAGCAACATTTTAATGTCCAACAGGCAACAACGACACATGTTTTTGTTCGGGTCTACAAAAAAGTATTTTATTGTTATTTTAATTTAAGTTACATATTACATATTATTTTGCAAGCCAGTCCCCAAGCCCAACAACCACCAGGCCTACCCGGTTCAAACCCAGATTACAAGTGATAAACTAACCCAACAACAAGCATCCAATCCAGCAACCCGACCTAGCACCCGTAGCAGACCCGAACCGGCCCAGTTACAAGACAAATAGAGAAGATTTAATTGAAGCTCAAATCGACCCGAAAAAGATCCGACCCGACCCCTAGGGTTTCTAAAACCCTAGCCTTAGGGGTTTGATGTTGCCGCCACCAGTCTTAGCTGCTACCGCCGATTGTTCCTACTACCATCGACAGATCTAGGTGCACAGTGATAGAAAATCACTATCCACCAATCAGTCACACTAAAAGTAGACATCAATCAAAACAAAACCGCAATAAAATATCAACACAAATCTTACCCAAAATCCTGAGGGATTTACACCTTGATATCAGCATACAAGGATATATATCAAAGGAGAGAGAAGAAAACGGATTCAGTGAAAAATAGAGAGGGAACCGAGGAGAAAAAAATCGAAGAAAAAAAGACTTCAAACAGAATCAAAAAGAAGAAAAATCTAGAAAAGAAAAAACAGAGGGATATTCGGGTTAAGGAGAGTTTCCCAAAGAAAAAAGGAAATAGAGAGGGAAAGAGTCATACCTCCGTTCAAAGCATTGGAAAGTCGCAGGGATCACTGGTTTTCCAATCTTTTGAAAGGTAAACCCTTTAGATCTAGGGTGTTTGGGTCGGTTTTAGGCTAAGGGAAGTTTGGTTTCGGGTTAAGGAGGATAAGAGGGTCCTTTTGGGGTACTTTTGCATCCTTCGGCCGTCCGCGCTGCCGTGTGCCGTCG